AAAGAAATTATTTATAAATTAAAAAAATAAAGCTTACTGAATATTTTTTATATTCTTGTATGTAAAGTTTCTCTATTTTTTGATTTCACCCCTGCAATTTTCAAGCATAATATTTTTAGAATTTCAATTTTTGTACACGTACTATATATAAATGTAAAGCTTCAATATTGCATATAGTATATATTTTTGACTTCAATACAAGTGTTTGCTTTAGTAAGCTATTTATGTACCATATATATGTAAATCAAAAAAGATTTCTGCAAAAGTGAGATTTGTATGTGAATTGTTTTGAATTGTTCCGTTAATTCCATTAATATCAATTGGATTCCTGTTTAGGTTTGCTTTGTTGTTTGTTAAATGTGAAATACTTATGTATGTATGTATATGTATACATCTACATGCGATTTCAATTCTAAGAATCTGCAAAAATTTCCAAAAGGCCCGTTTTTTCCGCTTTCATCCTCTGACTTCCTACCACGTAATAAATTTATGTTTTGTTTTTGTTGTTTGTTAATTTACTCAGCACATTTGGTTAAGTTTATTCGCTCCTGATTGCGGCTCGAGCTTCGAGAAGATTTTCGATTGAGCGGTTCCAAATATGCCGCTGGAGTCCAACCCTCTGCATTGGCTTCTGTGGGAATGAGAAAGGCGTTGAAGAAAAAAATAGCGAAAAATTAGATTTTATAAAAATTATTTAATATTTATAGAGAATGCATGCTAAATTTAGTTTGCAATAAAATAGTTTAATATATTGCTTAAATACCTCACAATATATTAATAAAAAAAGTAATAAATTTATAAAAAAAAAATAACAAGCTACATCCAGTTTTTAATAAAACTATATAATGGATTTAATAAATATCTCCCATTTATTAAAAAAAAAAAAAAATTTATTACAAGTTTTTTAAATTTCCATTAATATCTGACAACACTTATGTTAGAACAAGTGGCTAACTATCACTAAAAATCCTAATCTTTAGCAACATTATCAAGCAATAAATCAGCCAAATGTGATATAAAAACACACATTCCATCATCTCAGTTTTCAATTATCAACCACACAATAATGTTTATTAGGGTGCGTTAAAAATATAGATAATGGAAAACCTTAATATAATATTTATTGCTGATATTACAGCATAACAACGAAGCATTGTTGCGCAACGTTTACATAAAAATACGCCTATTCGTCAAAATGTTGCTAAACTAATATTTGTTGTCAGGAACATTGTCACACAACATTTATATAAAAATACGCCTATTTGTCAACATGTTTTCAAACATATATTTGTTGCTAGCAACATTGTTGCACAACATTTACATAAAATTACACCTAACAAAATTAATTACTTTTGGCAACAAATTATTAGTTATGTTAAAAATTTCTTCGGCAACATTGCTTAACAACATTTGAATTTAAGATTTAGTGTTTATTAGGGTGCGATTAAAAGTTAGATAATGGACACCGATATTGTGTTAAACAAGCTTTTAATATTTATTACCGAAATAGAAATTACAGCATACAAATCGCTGTCAACATGTTGCTGACCTAATATTTGTTTCTAGCAGTATTGTTGCGCAACGTTTACATAAAAATACGCCTATCTAAATTAAATGGTTATGGCAAAAAATTATTAATTATGTTAAAAAAATTTTTGGGAACATTGCTTAGCAATATTTGAAATTTACAAATCGCGTAAATTTTAAAGTTGTGACAGAAATGCTTCAAGAATTAAAAATCAATAATAGGAGGAGTGGCAGGAGAAGAGAAATAGCTTTGGGTGAACTTATACTGTCGAAAAGCTGACTCTTCCATGATAGAAATATAGATAGCCATCATGAAAGCCCAATGTTGAGGAAAGGTTACCTTATCATTGTTATAAAGGAGCTATTGGGAAGCGGTGGGGTTGCCGAGAGATATGTGGCAATTGCAGAGCCACTAGCTTTCAATCAACTCTTGTTTCAGACTGCCAGATTAGACTTTCAAGCAAAAGTGGCAGGCCTTTTTTACAGGCCTCGTTGACAATAAGCTCAAAGCTAGTTAATAAGTAACCGGATACTGTCTTATTGGCCTTCGTGAGTGCCATATAAAGATTCTGGAGGACGCAACTTGTCAAAATTGCAATGAGGAAGAAATATACAAAATGAGTTTTGTTGATATGCGATTGGGATTCGTGGCTTCACGAGAAATCAGCTTATTTACCTAACCTAAGGTAAAGATGTTGCGCAACATATGCGAGAGTAATTTGTATCTGGCAACATTTTTGTACCAATACTGTTGCTTGAAATTTTAGTAATGTATCTCGCAAACTTCTTTTGTAACACTTGTGTATGAAAATTGATAGATTAAAATGGGAATAGAAAAATCTGCCTTTAGTATTGTGACTCAAAATTGATCTAGCAACATTACTGTGGAGCAAACGCATAACTACTATTGCTAATATATCGCAATTACTTTGGGATATGGACAATTTTAAGCGGTCATTAGATTGAACAGAATAAAGTAATTATAATTTGTATAAAATATTACAGCTCAACATCTGTTGCCAGAATTAGAGGCTCTTGGAATATTGCATACATATGATCAAATTTGAGCCAGACTATGCTTTTAAGCTCCGTCCAAAAACTGAATGAATAAAAAAAAAACTAATTCTTGGGTTGGTCAAACCATTTTATCAGCTCTCCTTATGTCAATTAGTTGTGTTTGGCAGCAGTTTGTTTATGAAGCGAAAACTTTGTCTGGCAACTTTTATCATGGAAAACAATTTAACTACGAGTTCGATCGAAATTTTAGGGTTCAGGACTACGGAATTGTTGAAAATGTTGCAGAAGATTTCATGGGAGTTTCAGGAGCATGTATTGAGGGATATTCCGAAGTTTTTTTGTTGATCCGAATCAAATTTGATCAAAGGATACATCAAAATGTTTGAGAAGAGTGCAAGAGCACGTTTGAAGGCTATTTTAAAGTTGTTTCGTCAATCCGGTTCAAATTTGATCAGATGGTAGTTTGATGAACATTTTTCTTTGCTATATACTTATGTATAAAATATTAACATATAAATACAATGCTATTAAAAAAGCATAGAAACACCAACACCACAACAAATATATACGTATAACGTATATTATATTAACTACTCATAGTAGCTATAAAACTGGTGCTTGGTTCTATCATATTTACATATATGTACATATACTAAGCATTTACAAATTTACATAATTTATATATTGCATTATATACTTATTTTATGTACATATATACATTGGCACTTAAATAATACAATTGAATTACCTAAAACACGCACAAACCACCAGCCAGCACAGCCCACCTTCAACAATTCAATCGCATCACCTTCGCGCATTGAGACCTCCGAGTGTCCCATAGCCGCATAATCGGCAAGGGCAACAAATTTACTGCCCTAAAATTATACGATTAGCTATTTTACAAAAATGCACGCCACAATTTAAGCGAAATTTTATCAATAACGGTACTTAAACGCTACTTAAACTAAGCAACGTTGCATTTTTCAAATTTATCAAATGTCGAATTTCTTGTGTTTTTGGTGAAATTTAGCATAAAATTGCTGATAAATTTTCTTAACCCTTTAGCTACGCACTTTTTTGCGAATAATTTGTATCAAATGTAATTWATACATAATTTTAAATTGCAGCGAAAGGATTGTGAGAAATGCGTTTGTGTCGTTAACAAGAAGCGTCACTGCAACAAGACAGCATTTACTATTTATTTATATACTTATGTGGAACACTATGTAAATTAAAAAGAAAAATGGCGTGGGCAATGCTTTGCACTAAATTAAAAGATTGCGCGGTGTTCGCAAGGCAAACGCGTAATGCAACAACTATGGAGAACAAGTAAAAATGAGCAACGAATGCCGCCGAGGCAAATACGATTTTACACATACATATATATGTAATATATAATTAATTATTGTATATTGTTTAAATAAGCATTATTTATAAGCGCAAAACGTATATGTCAACACAACTTATTAATTATTTGAGCATTTTTGTTTACTTTTTTAATTAATATTTTATAATTTGCGATATTTTTTTGTATTTTTTTACATATCAAAGTAAACGAAAATCAACGTAATTCAATTGAAATGAAACAAATCTATAAGCAAAAATTTATGCACTGGAGGATATGCTTGTTTATGTATTGTATATGTGTGTGGGGTGCGTGAACGCTTGATTTCTGTGCATGGCTGTGAGGGTTTGTGCTGCTGTGGGTGTGATTTTGTGGGTGGGTGCATATGTACATATGTATGTAAATGTGGTGGTTGGTGAATGATTTATAACGGTATCATATTTCATTTTGTTGTTTGTGCATTTGGAGCTGTGCTCTTCTCGCTAAAACACTATTTTATATTGTGGATTTTCTAGTAATATATACACACGTACATAGAATATACATAGATTATCATATTGCTTAAAATATGTTTAAAAATGTCGAATATGATTTTTAAAGCTATAATTTAAAACAAAAAAATATCAAAGTTATGGTTATTTTTTGTTTGTTTTCTACGCGGATCAAATTTGAAAAACACTACGGACAAAATCGATATCGAAAACAAAATCGATAACTAAAAAAAAAAAAAAATTCTAACAATCAAAAAAAAAAAAAATTACTTAAAAAGTCATCGTAAGCAGTCGTCATATATGATTTTTCAAAGCTTTAATTTTTTCATGTATTTAAAAAACATTCCCAAATGATTGCTATTTCTTTATTTTCTAGGCTGATTAAATTTGAAAAATTTTAGAAATCAAACCGGAAGCGAAAAATATACTTAAAAAAATAAAATTTCAAAATAAAAAAATAAAAATTCTAGAAATCAAACAGGAATCGAAAAAAAAATTTAAAAAAATATTCTTCAAAAAGTCAACAATAACGACATAAAGTAAAAATTCTAGAAATCAAAAGGAATCGAAAAAAAAAATTACTTCAAAAGTCGTCGTAAGCAGCTGTCAACAATAACGATATAAACTAAATTTTTTTATTAAAAATTATTTTTCGAAATATTTGTGCAATACTTTTGCCATTAACACCGTTGTGAAAAACCTAATTGCCTTCAAAAAATATTATTTCCTGAACATTTGCTCTGAAACGTTATTTAAAAAGTAAAAAAGTAATTGACATACACATTTTATAATTTTTTTTTTGGAAAAATATGATATAAAAAATTTCATATTTCGTTGA